CCCCCAGGTGCCCCCACAATTAGGAAATTAAAGAATGATCACTTGATACATGGTCCTTACTCAATTTTCTCAGTCTATCCCCAAAATATACTTTATACCTTTTATTAATTTAATTAATTAATTTTATTATTATTATTTTTAAGTAGGCTCCACGCCCAGCATGGAGCCAAGTGCGGGGCCTGAACTCAGGACCCTGAGATCAAGACCTGAGCTGAGATCAAGTGTCGGACACTCAACCAACTGAACTACCCAGAGGCCCTGCACTCTATACCTTTTAAAACGTTTGCATCAGAATCTGATTGGGAGTATGCATTGCATCGGTCTGTCATGTCTCTCAGTTTCCTTTATTCCAGAATAGTCTCGACCCCCCCATACACACTGTCTTTTTGAAGAGTTCAGGCTAGTGTCTTCATAGGCTGTCTTTCAGTGTGAATTGTCTGTCTGCCTGTTTCCCCGCGGTTAGATTCTGCTAAATGCTCTTGGCAGGAAAACCAAGGTGTCTGTCGGGAGAACCGTGACAGGGAGGGTCCAGAGCATGGGAGCTGGGCCGTCTGCTTGGAGTGGTGTCCCCACTTCACGTGTCCACAACTCCATTTCCTGCTGTCCTCCCGGGGTCTCAGCAGCCGTGGGGGCCTCTCGTGGACAGTGTTCTCGGCGAACACACACACAACCCCCTCTAACAGTGGAACTGTGGTGGTCATGTGACCTGGCGTGCCTGTTTATGATTCCTCCGGAACAGTTAATATAATCGTAAAATAAAGGATTCTCGTTGGTTCTCACGTCTTCAATCCTCTGAGATAGCGTCTGGACGCTACAGGGTGGGTAGGAAGGCCTCGCAAGGCAGCTCTTCCATGGAATGCCCTCATCCTGCTCACTGGGGAGCCTGGCCAGCTCACTCACCCTCAGGAGGAAGGCTCCGTCCCTGGTCAGCAACGTGTGTGCCCTTGGGAAGGACTGTCCGCTTCATCCCTCCAAGTGTCCACAGCATGAGCTGCCGACCCTGGGCAAGGGAGCGAGGGGGACATGGGCCTCCGGCGTGGGGGGGTGCAGGGAGGATGGTTTCAGCTGCCACTGCCTTGCGACCACAGGGAGCTGGAAGGAAACCCTCTCGATCGGAGCAGTTTCATTTATCTCATGCAGACACGTGCCACGCTTCAGCCAAAGTTCATAACTCAGCAAACCCTAACAGTGAACCCAGCCGTGTTTCTCAACCACAGTAACGGTTGCTGGGGCACCACCCTCCCCGCCCTCACCCGAGGGGACCAGCCTGGAGCACCTGAAACCGTGGGCATTTCGGGAAGACCGGGCTCAGCATTGCCAGCGCTGGGGGTGTCCCTGGGTGCCCGGGGATGGCCAGCCCAAATATGCAGGCAGAAGGCAGCCTCCCAGGACCCTGGAGCAGGGGTGGTGAGTGAGGGGGTCCTCCCTTCCTGAGGAGACATGGTGGGGGCCTCCAACTGCCAGCATGGAGATGCCTGGAAATCAGGTAAACATGGAGCGGGGAAATGCTGGGGAGGGTCTGGCATGGCAGCAACAAGAGTGTCCCAGGTAGCCTGGCCGGCAAGCTGACCTGACAGTGACCGCGGAGCCCAAGTAGGGCAGCATCCCTGGGGGCCTGGACAGGGCAGCAGATGATGTGCAAGGGGTGGGGCCAGCGTGCGGGTGCTGAGCGGGAGACCTTCATGAGGGAGCTGGGTCTCAGACGCCGGGTACACACACCCGTCTTTATCATCCTGCTCTCCGTGGGGAAACTGAGACCCGTGGCCACCCCCGGGGGAGGGGTCCCCATGGTATGGGGGCCATGCCCAGACTCAGGTCCTCAGTGTCTGCCCTGGGCTTTGCTTCTCCTCATCCCTAAGGGGCTGCTGCCTAGGTCTGGGCAAAGCCCCAGCTGGCCACTGGACCCCCAGCTTTCCCCAGCCCCCCAGGGGGTTGGAGCCAAGCCCCGAGTTCTCTGTGATGAAGCAGGGCAGAGGCAGAGGGGTCGGCTCCGCCGTGGCCCTAGTGCTTGAGTCTTGTCTGTTTCCCCTTTCTCAGTTCTTACCCACTTCCTGTCTGTAAGGGACCTTCAGAGTTGGAGAGCAGATCACAGCAAAGTCTACATCCTGTGCTTTGCCAGTAGGGCTTGCCTGCCCACAGCGCCCATGGGGAGCCTTGGGGTCCTCCCCACGGTCTGTTGGCCACCCTCCCCTGGGATCTGCTTCGTGGCTGGGACAGTGGTAAGGACCCCTGGGTGCCTGACACGGGACATGCTCCAGATTCCAGACCCCGACTCCCCACGTGCGTGGCGCAAGGCTGGTGATGACGTCTGTTCTCAAGCCTTCACTAACTTGTCACCATAGAAAAACACTGAGATTCTAGCTGCTCACAGTGTGGAAATAGCAACAAAATTTCAAGTGAATTTAGCCTTTTTGGGGGAGTCAGGGAAAGCCCCCATAAAGCAGGAACAACTTGGCTGGGAGCTCGATGATGACATTAAGCAGGTGTCCATGGGACAGAAAGGCAGGTGTAGCTGGTCTGTGTGCTCAGGGGACACAGAGGCTTGGTAGCCAGACTTCAGGGCCTGAGGGTCGATGGCGCAGGACCGCGGGCGGGGCCCCGAGGTCACAGCTGCTCTGACGACAGGGGGAGGGGAGGGCAGCCGTGTGAGCATCTTGCCCAGGCAGCTGCATCTTCTGGCTTTTTTTTTTTTTTTTTAGCAGCATTTCTTTCTTTGATGGGGGGAGTGCACGCATGCTTGCAAGCAGGGGGTGGAGGTGGCGGTGGGAAGGGCAGAGGCAGACGGAGAGAGAGAATCCTAAGCAGGATCCATGCCCAGCGTGGAGCGCAATGGGGCTTGAACTCAGGACCCTGAGATGACCTGAGCCAAAACCAAGAGTCGGACGCTTCACCGACTGAGCCACCCAGGTGCCCCCCCACTTTTTTAAAAAAATATTTTATTTATTTGTTTGTTTGTTTATTTATTTTAAATATTTTATTTATTTATTTGACAGAGACACAGCGGGAGCAGGAACACAAGCAGGGGGAGTGGGAGAGGGAGAAGCAGGCTCCCTGCTGAGCGGGGAGCCCGACGCGGGGCTCGATCCCGGGACCCTGGGATCATGACCTGAGCTGAAGGCAGACGCCCAACGACTGAGCCCCCCAGGCGCCCCAGCCCCCCACTTTTTAAAGCATGTGCCGAGCATTTTTGCTCCTGCAGGAATCACATGATAAGGGAAACGTAAAGTAGCAATGTTTCCGGAGAAGCTGTGGCCTCAGTGTGCCCATGTCACATGGGCAGCCATGCCGAGTACTGCAGGTTTCATGGCAGCCATGACCTAGCGTGCCCGGGGCTCACTTTGTCACCAGCCTGGCAGTAAAGTGTGGCGAGGACTTGCTTCTCTCTTATTTTGTCGGGAACACGTGGAGAAAGGGTTTATTCCTTTGGTGGAAAGAGCCCCACCAGGCCTAAGCCACAGGTATGGTGCTCAGTGGGCCTGGCGCATCTGAGACACACAAAGCTGCCCGCTGACCCCTTCCGGGCCGCCTCAGGTGGAGCGAGACGTCTGCCTGCCCGCGCTGTCGCCACCCACCACCCTTCTCTGCACAGAGCTGGTTAACGGGCAGCAACGCCTGAGTCCCCCGCCCAGCTCAACCGTGGCAGGCCCCTCCCTGTGAAGTCTCCCCTTTGGGGCGCTCCTTGCCCCCTTTCCCACAGGGAGCGCACCATCCATGGCTGTCTGGGGGCCCAGGAAGGGGCTGTACCCCAAAGCCAGCAGTCGGTCACTCCTGGATACACCTTCTTTCATCTCCAGCCTTTGGCCGCCCCATCCCTGACCTCACTGTTGCCCTTGGCCATTGGGACTGCATGGGTTCCCACAGGGGACCATGGAGCAGTGGCCCATGGAGGAGACCACAGGTGGGCCACTCAGGGCCACCTGGGGAAGCCAACATAAGTGACCAGTGGGTCGAAGGTGGGGCGGGAGGAGGCCCCGGAACCCCTCAGCAGACGACCCCAGCACCCTTGGGTTCTGCTCGGGTCCCTCTCAGGCCCACGGTGGCCCCTATGTGTGGGCAGAGCTGGTCAGACGCCCCGGGCATGGCCCCTGACCTTGCTGGGAGTGAGGGTGTGGGGTCTCTGAGATTCTCCCCATTCTGGGGACAGGTCTGCCAACTCCTGCCATCTGTGGCCAGAGGCTGGGTGTGGAGCCCAGGCTGACCTGGCAAGGATCCTCCCTCTGTCACATGGCCTCTCCAGGGGCTTTAATAAAACCTGCTCGAGGGCCGCTTGGGGCCACGCGCTCAGGTGCCCGAAGCAGGGAGTGCTCAGGAAGCCCAAAGGGTGGAGCAGTCCCACCTCTGGGGCTTTGACCCAGGCGCCTGGTGTGGGCGCATGTGTGCTGGGATGCCAGCCCCCCTGGGACCACCCACAGCAACAGGAACACTTGTGCTCTGGGAAGCAGAGTGGGGACTGGGCCGGGGGAGGTTTTCTCCCCGAATCTGTATCTTCGCGTGTGCCTGGGGGAGCTCGTGAGAACAGATGCGATGCAAACTTTTAAGAACATGTTCTCTGGCTAAGGAGTGTTTCCCTGGGGTGACAAAAGGCCGCACTGAGGTCTCCAGGGCGACGCAGCGCTGACAGTGCAGGGGTCCAAAGCACGGTTAGTGGCTCAGCGTGCGCCGTGTCCCCAGACGGAGAAGAGTCGGATGTTCCCACTGTGTTAGGGCCTGTGCCGTGCCCACGCCCCGTGCTTGCTGAGTGTGTGAATGGAAGGGTCTGGAACGGGACACAGGTAGGCGTGGGGCCCTGACCAGGACCTGTGTGTCCAGTGGTTGCCCCCCAGGATCCCTGATGCCCTGGGGGTGGGCTCGGGGGCTGTGCAGTGGGCAAGCGACCCATTCAAATAAACACGCCTGCAGGGTGAGGGTCTTTTGTTGTCTTTTCTTTTTTCATTATTTAAAAAATATATGTTACAAAACAATATCATTAATCATATATTTCTTATTTTCCTTTTTAAAAAAATTAAAGCAATAAAAAAAGTCACTTTATAAAATAATACAAAAGGCCAGGAGAGTCTGAGGCTGGGGCTGGATCGGGGGCCCCCTGGGCTGGTGGGCCGGTGGGCCGGAACCCCGCACGGGGGGGCTCCCCGGCGTGGGCAGGAGGGGGGCTGGGGCTCCCGGCAGGACCCAGGACTCCCGGCTCTGGCTGGGCCTCCTGAAGGCAGTGGTAGAGGGGCAGTGAAGGCAGCTGTGGGGACAGCCAGGGCCCTGCGTGCCCTAGGAGGGGCAGGGGAGCCCGGGGAGGTGGCCGGCCCCCAGTGCCAGCCCCCGGGGCTGGGAGCCCTAGCTCCCACTGCTGAGCATGCCCAGCAGTTTACTGGGCTCCAGGCCCTGCTGCTGTGCCACGGTCTGCACATCAAACCCCATGTGCATGAGGAACTGGGCCACGTTCATCTCCTGCCCCGTGAACTGGTCCCGGATGGTGGGGCAGGAGGGGTTGCAGTGAGGCCAAGGGCAGCTGTCCACCAGGTGGACGGGGCAGCCCTTCAGGGGGGCTTTGCTAGCCTTGTGGCTGTCATGCAGGCTTCTGTCCCAGCAGTGCAGCGCCCGGGGCAGCGAGGTCCCCTTCACCTGGACGTCCGTCCAGTGGCTACAGACAGAAATCCAGGCGGGGGTCACTCGGTGTGGCCAAAGCAGGCTACCATGGGAGGTGGGCTGGGTCTGAATTCTGGCCACACAGCTGGTTGTGGACGTGGCACTGACAGCCCTAGGAAGCCCTTCCACAGAGCCAGGGAAGGCAGGTGGCCGGTGGGTGGGGGCGGGGCTGGGTGTTCAGAGCGAGAGCCGGGGACACCATCTCTCCAGCACCTGCGGACACTGACCTTCGGATGATGATCTCGTGAGAGAGGCAGGCAGGGGCGAAACTGGCCCTGTTGGGGAGGAGACAGCAGCTTATAGCGACCACCTGGGCCCCCTTCCCTGCCCCACCCCGGTGCCCACTCCCCTGGGGACCTGTCCTCTCCCCGGCTCCCGCCTCCCTCGTGCAGCAGTGCCTGGCGAGCTGCTCGTCAGGACCAGGCCTCTCCCCGCCTGCCCACATGCTCCCGACTAACCCACGTCTTCCCCCGCCTCCAAACCCTGCTCCGAGTGCATCCCTTCCGGCTGGGCCGCGGTGGGAGGCTAACCCGGACATGTGAGGAGTTGGCTCTTTTTGTGTGTAATAGGCTTTATTTCTAGAGCAGTTTCAGGTTCACTTCAAAATGGCGTGGGCAGTACAGTGATTTCCCGTGCGCGCCCGCCCCGACTCGCACAGCCTTCCCTGCAATCAGCGTCCCACCAGATGGTGTGTCTGTCACACGGAGGAGCCCGCACAGACCCAGGATCATCACCCAGAGCCCGGGGCGTACGTTAGGGCTCGCTCTCACTGCTGTGTGTTCTACGGGTTTGCACAAATGTATAATGACACTTGTCCACCCTCGTGTCTCATGCAGAGCCGTTTCACTGTCCTGAAATTCCTCTGTGCTCCGTTCATCCTTTCCCGTTTCCAGTTCTATCCTTGGTACCAACTGATCTTCTTACTGCCTCACCGTTCTGCTGTTTCCCCTGAATGTCACGGGCTTGGAATCATAGGCCATGTAGCCTTTTCCAGATTGGCTCCTTGCTCCCAGTAACACGCATCTACGTTTCCTCCACGTCTTTCCGTGGTCTGAAAGCTCCCTTCTTATTGCTGGACAGCATTCTGTTTGATGACTATACCAGTTTGTTTATCTTGAGGATCTCTTTAAGCTTACATTTTCTAGCTATTGCAGGCAATTGGAGCATAGTTGGCTTTTATCAAATGTTTTATAACTAGCAACTCCACAGAACTGATTAGTGCTAATACGTGTGGCAGCTGTTTTCCCAGGTTCTCTATGCGAATGGCGAGCGTCTGTGGTGAGAGTCAGACTCCTCCCCTCACGGTCCTGTCTCGTGCTACCCTCCTGGCCAGGACTCCCATGCACCACAGAGAACAGGGTCATCCACACCTTTGTCCTGATTTATAAAATGCTTTTTTTCATTTTTTTTGGTAAAGGTTTTATTTTTTTTAAGCAATCTCTACATGCACCGTGGGGCTCAAACTCACAATCCCAAGATCAAGAGTCACACACTCCCCCGACTGAGCCAGTCGGGTGCCCCAAATGCTTTTTGCATTTTATCTTCAAGTAGAAAGTTTGCTGTAGGCTTGGGTGTTGAGTTGAATCCTACAAAATTGCCATTTTTGTAAGTCAGAAGTGGTTAAATATCAGCAATTTCATATGGTTCGACCTCATACAGACCCTTCATCAGTTTAAAGTTCTTTCTCCTCCTGCTGTACTGAGTTTTTACCCAGAACAGGTGCTGAATTCTGTCTGCTGGCACTTCTGACTCTATCCCTGACGACCACAAGCGGGGTCCCGGCTGGCAGGATGCCGCTGCCCTTCCATGGCGGCCATGCCCTCCGCTATGCTGCCTTCAGATTTCTGTTCTTCACAAGTCTTTCCACACGACTAGAAGCTTCCACCTGTAATTAGCTGATGAAAAGTAGCAAGCGCGTGTCTTGGCGCCGTTTCTCTGCACCTGTGTGTAGTGTCTCATTTACTAACACTCAGTTTCCTTGAAGGATGTGGGAGTTTTATAAAGTCTTGAGACCAATCCCTATCTGCCCATGTTCTGCAAAGTTAGTCTCCAGGGTATGGCTTGCCTTTTCAATTTGTTTAAAATAGAGTAAGAGAGCACCAGCTGGGAGATGGATGGCCTGTTCCCCCAGGGGGTGACGTGAGCCCCAAGGTGGCCCCAGTGAGGTAGCAGTGCTCAGGCTCTGCGCTGACCTGGGGGCCCGGGTAAGGGGTGGGCGGCCAGCGAGGAGAAGCGTCACATCTGGAGACAGCTGAAGCCAGGATTCGCTGTGGGATGGATCTGGATTGTGGGAGAGGGAAGGAGCTCAGGTTTGAGGCCTGGCTGCTGGGTGGGAGGAGGTGAGCGGCGATGCCTGAGCTGCCCTGCTACCGTGTCCGTCAGGCACACACCTCATGGGGCTGGTGGGGCTTCTGCTCAGCCTCAACACAAGCCCTTGGCAAATGGCAGGGTCTGAATCAAGGAATGGCTGGGACAGTGGGGAGAGCACCAGGGCATCCGGAATGGGTCTGTGGGGGAGGCCTGCCAATGGTCCGCCCAGCGAGGAGACGCTGGCCTGAGAAACGGGGCAGGGCCAGCCACAGAAAAGGGGCTGAAGACCATGGCGTTTTCCACCAGAGGACCCCCTCCCCTGCACGACCCCCTCTCCTGCACAACCCCCTCCGCTGGAGGACCCCTTCTCCTAGAGGCTGGTGGGTGTGGCCGGTTCCTCCCTGCGAGTGGCCCACCGCTCAGGCTCTGCCCTAGTCCAGCTGCTTGTAATGCTTACATTTTCTTCCATGTTCCCGTTCAGTGCCTCTTAAGACTCCTTACTGTTCCCCTGTGACTGCTCTCAGGCAGCTGTCCCCACAGAGGGAGGGTGGAAGGCCGTCCAGGCTGCGGGGGCCCTGCCAGCAAACTGAGAGGCACAGGGGGTCAGGCCCAGGGCTCCCTCCCCTGAGGCTGAGAAGGGGTCTCTGATGGTGGGGTGCTTGGTCTCCTGAAGGCCGGGAGGTGCACTCAGGTGGACACTGTTCATCCTGGCTGGTGGACACAACCATGCCCCTCCCTTCTGGCCTGCCACCAACTTGAGCGAGTCCCTGCTACTGGAAATTTGGGGAGAGCGTTTCTTCCTCATCTGGAGGGAGACCTGGGTAACACACCCCATCAGTGACCTGCCGACACTGAATTCCTTCTGTTCGCGTTTTTACAGCAGGACTCTAAGAACACCAAGAAAAATTGTGTCTCTGAATGCTTGGGGAAGGTCCAACCCCGCTCGGCCCAGACGGTGGGGAGAAACGATCCTCCTCAGGGCTGGGCAGCAGGAGCAGTGGCCGGGGCGGGGCAGGTAGGGCAGGGCCACCTTTGCTGGGGACACCGCGCCACTGTGGGAAGCTGAGCGCCGGGTGTCCTAGCAGATGGCTGTTGCCGTGGCAGCACCAGACGCTTCTCTTGGGATGGCAGAGTCTGCTCTTGTGCCTTCACAGAGTGGGTCCACCCGGGGCACTGGGGGCATGGGCAGACACGGGCTCCAGCGTGGGCCTTGGCACAGCTGGAGAGGAGTGTTTTGGGGCATTTACCCTTCTTTCCAAGGAGACCAGACTGCCTTTGCCCTACACATTGCTTTGTCCTTCTAGTGTCCATAGGAACCCCAGCTGGTCAGGCACTGGCCAGCCAGTGTGCCTGGGAGCATGGGCCTGTCCCCAGGGCCTCTGTGAGACAGTCCCTGAAGCCTCACCCCAAGACCTGTCTTTGGGCCATGCCCACCACCTTGTCACTTACTCCAGGGACAGCAGAGCAGGGCTCTCAGGATAATTCTGTCTTTTTTTACTTTCATAGAGGCAACACAAAATCTCTACAGTGACTTGCAGATCAACTCGGCACAAAGAAAACCGGTCCCCAAAGCCACGCCCAGCTCAAGAATCCCACAGGGAAAGTGGCCACCACACCGGAAGCTCCTCATCAGCAGCCAGCGGTCCCCTCCAGGACACGTGGAAGTTACTAGACCTGGGATCCAGCCCCTCTGGCCTCACCTCCCAGGATGACTCTGCGCCAGGTAGGCTGGGGCCAGGGCTCTGGGGTCCCAAACAGGCCAGGCTTGGTCAGTGGCCGCCGACAGAATCC